GTTTTGTTTAAACAGTTTCTCTGTTGTGTGCTGTTCAATGGTTTGAGTGTAGTAGGTCGTATTATAAGATTGTGAATAAATTTGATTTTATATCAGCAAATTGTGTTGTCGATGTATTGTGAAATAAAAGGTTTTTTTTGGTTGTGGAACCTGTTTTGCTATATCTTGAGCATTTACAGATCATGCATGCATGTATGTATATGGCTTTATTATCAGCACGGATGAATTATTTATTATAGTGTTTAGTCGAAATTTTAAACTGAAATTCGAAAGATGAGAATCTTTGAGATCGCAAAACAGTCATCTATAATTTAGTGCAGAGCGAGAAGTCACGAAGGAGCATAGGTATAATACTTTAGCGTTGAAGAAGATGTAGAATCTGGGAGATTGACAATGAGAGATGTCATATTGAAGAGCGTAAATTGATGTTTTGATTAGTTCTGTTTTAGAAATGGTTTGGATGGATTTATAGTCCAAGAGATTGTTAAGGTGGTTTGTTTAAAACATTATTGTGATGTTTCATTCCAGACTTGATTAGGTGGAATTCATATAGGTACGGATTTGACTTTAAAATCGCAGTAGATGGAAAGTATATCTTATTGTTAATAAGGAGCCACTTACGTATCAGTGTGAATGGATGCAGAATCGTAGATGTTCATGAAACATTAGAGCATTGTGCAGATCACAATGAGGATTCTTTTGTGTGGAAACAATTGGGGAATCGTCCCGAGACGATTCCTTAAAACAATGCGATCGTACGATGTACGTGAATCGTTTTTGAAGTACTTCATCGCCCGAGGACATACGCATGTGCCATCCACATCAATTGTACCCTTCGATGACCCATCACTGCTGTTCGTGACGGCTGGAATGAATCAGGTTTCTTTGTCAGGTTTTTATCCGAATTGATGGCCCAATATTAAATTGATAGCTAAAAATGTTAGCAAGAGAATATACTTAACAAGAGAATCATTTTTACTCTCATAAAGCTATCGATGAGGGAAGGTGTTTGCTTATTTATTTAATTATTGGTCAAAAAATTTATAAAGAGTTCCCCATTGAACCTGAAAGCAATAGAAAACCATTAGAAGTTTCCATAAACGATGAAAAGTTTTCTCACAATATACTGCAGTGAATTCACGTTGACGAGCGATTTTCTCACTCGATCTCTATAATTGTCATTATTTTCATTAAACGTTTGATTCGATTGCATCGTACTGATAAGCGATATAGTTGATGCAGTGATTACAATTAAGTCATTATGGATGAAGGAAAGGAACGAGTTCAGATGTATAGTTTGCTGATCAAGTGGATAAGCTGCATTTTGGAGAGAAAAATTAGAAAGATCAGAGAATAATTTCAGTTTAAATCGATTCTGTTGGGTAGAAATAACGATCATCTTGTTGATGAGAAAAGAGAACCACTAAAAAGAGCCGTGAATTCGCAGAAGTGTTTCCGTGCCGGTGGTAAGCACAACGATCTAGCGGACGTTGGACAAGATGCTACTCATCATACATTCTTTGAGATGTTAGGCAATTGGTCATTTGGTGATTACTTCAAAGTTGGTTTCTTCAAATGTGATCATAATGCATGCATTCATCGTTCAGCATTTTCAAATTTCTTATTGATTCTCCCATTTCAATCCGATCAGATGAAGTGATTCAATAGAGCGCATAAACTGCAGCATATTGAAAATACTGCATGATACTGCTTGACGAAGCTTATCGCTTATGGATCATGAAATTCATTCTTGAAACTAATCGGAATTCATAATCTGCCAGTGGATATTTCTTTTGCGCGAAGTGATAGTGACACTTACAGTGAGAATGCACGATTCTTCTGATGAATTGTATTGTGTGTTTGCAAACTCGAATAGGGCTAAAATAAATTTTAGGTTTTATCATTAGATGATTATATTCTCTTGATGTAACCTCACCAATGAATTTCCAGCGAGAGGCATGCCACTTTGCATG